GCCGGACAAAAAGGATATAATTCAATACGTGATGCGTTAGTTTATCAAATTTTATCTACTTTTTTTTTTTAATTTTAATTTTTTTTTTTAATTTATTAATCAATTCATTCATCTTTTTTCAAAATCATTTTTAATATAAAATTATTGGATAGATTTTATAGTGTTAATCAGAATAGATGTAGCAAATTCAAATTTTAAAAATTTCATTAGAATTATTTGTCAAAAATTTAATAATCTAAAATTATTTCATTCATAATCATAAAAATAAAAAAAAAGTTTCTCAAACTTTATTTCAAATTTTCTTTGAACAATTGAAAGTTTAATAACTCTAGAATTTTAAATAGTATTTGAATTTGCTTAAATAAATTAAATATTAATATTTTCTCTACTTTTTTTTGCTTTCGATTGAAATTATTCAAATTTAACAAAATTGAATTACTAAAAATTTTTTTCCGCTGAAATAAATATTAATACATAATTCATATAAAATTACAATCAAAATTCTTCAAATTAAATAAATGAAAAATACAACAAAAAAAAGAAAAAATGAAGTATCACAATAAGTAAATGCAATTAAATTTTTAAAATTTGACAATTGCTAATATATGCACCAAATAATTTTTCAAAAATTTTAATTTTTATTTTAAAAAAGGATTTTAAAAAAAAATTTTAATTTTGTTTTTTAATCAAAACACAACTTTTTGTTTTTTTTTTTTATTCCAAGCATAAATTTGAATTGAATAGTCAGCAAGAATTCATTATTTGAAGAATTCATTAGTTGGAAAAAAGGAAAAAAACGACGGAGAAAGGTTAACAGAGAGAGAGAGAGAGAGGAGAGAGAGAGAAGAAAGAAAGACAATAGCTATTGATGAAAAAATTAAAAATTTTAGTTTTGAAAGGTTAAATGCAACAATCTTTCGACCGTTACTGATGCGAAATCAGAAGCCACATCAATTTGATGCATCAAAAATCATTCGAGCCTATACAAAAATAACATTAAAAGAGGCCATGGAAATGGCCTGTGATATTAAGCCTAATATTAATGTGCCAAGAAAATCGTAAGTTTTTTTTTTTTCAAATTTTTTGAAATTAATTTTATACTAAACAAACATTTTTTAACATTTTCCCTGCTAACTTTTTCTCTCTTTTTTATGAGCAATAATAAATGATTGATATTTGTATTTTTGCATTTCTGATGCTGAGGAAAATATTCGGAACTTTCTGTTCATACCGGATTTATTTTCGGATTTCTTAATTAATTTTATGCTCAGCAGCTTTTTTTTTATATATTTACAATATGAATGAAATATTTATTAAATATTTTAATGCACTATTTAATTTTAACCATTTAATATATTTTAATAGGCAATTTCAATTATTGAATTACATTTTAAAATTTCTAAAAAACAATCAAAAATAGATTATCATATTTAATAACTAAATAATTAATATTAGAATTAAAATTTGTAAAGTTTTATAGAATACATTAAATTTATGTTGTCTAAAATTTATGATAAATTTGTAAGTATATAATTTTTCTTTTTTTTGTGCTAAATGTTAAAAGATACTTTAGAAGGTCATAAGGTCATTGTGTGAAAAGGAAGATGTGGTAAAATTTAAGTATTACTTTGTAGGAAAAGTGTATCTGATGGTCTTGGTGTAGCTTCATCAGCTTATAACAATTTGGAATATTTATTTGATGAAAAATCTGAACCAAATGATCCAACAAATTTAAGGATTGAACTTGCAAAAGTAACTAATTATTGATTATTTCTTTTAGAATTAATTATTTGAATATAATTTAATTTTTTCATATTTATAAAATTTATCATGAATTAATGCAAGAAAAAAAAGTTATTCGTTTTTTTTTTTTTACCTCTAGGTATTAATTATTAAGTTCGATATTTACGTTTTTCTTTTTTTTTTTTTATGAGATACTAAAAATAATTAAGCAATTCATTAATGTAAAAAAGAATTTTAATTTATATTTCAGTTTTTTTTTTTTTCTTTTACTAGCAAAATTTTAAATTTTAAATTGTTTAAAGAACATTAATTTTTATTTTTTATAGTATATGACATCAAGTGAAAATACAGAAGCATTATATCGTATGTTCAGTCAATTATTAGATCGTAAACTTCGTGAATTAAAAAAAGATCAAAGTACAATGGATGAGAATGGTGATGATATTAAGGAAGATTATATGGCAGAATTTATTAAACCTGGTACCAGTGTTTCAACAATTGATCTTACAGATGTATGTTTATTAGTTTTCTTTTTTTAATTTTTAATTTTAAATTTTTATTGAATTAAAAAGTGTGAAAAAAAAGTAAATAAATATAATAGTAATAAGAAGAAAAAAAAATTTTCTAAAATTGAATATTAAGAGATAGTAATATCGATCAATTTAATTTTTTTTTTTTTTCAATTTTGCTTCAATTCTTTTTTTAAATTAGCAACACAGTCTTTTTCTTTTAGGTTGGCAAATTAGCGCCACGTTCAATGTCAAATCCGCTTCGTGATAGTATAAGACGACGAAGACGAATAGCTAGAAGTCAAAGTATGGGAAATTATATTTGAAAAAAAAAAAAAAAAATAAATAAAAAATCTTTTACTATTATTATTTTATATATATATGCTTTAAAGTTTTTATTAGATTATCAAAAGTTTCATTTCATTTTCATTTTTTTTTTTTTTTTGTTGGCCAACCAATAATGAGCTTATTTTAATGCTATTTTACTCGTTACATATACTCATAATTTTCATTTTTCGTTTATTAAAAATGATATCATGAATTTTTATTTATAATTATTACTATTTTAATGATTGATATTATTATCATTATTGTTTAATAGTAAAATATTTGGTAAAATGTATCATCAAATTGTCAAAATTTATTAAATTTGCATAATTTCAAAATTATAACAAGCAATAAATTAAAAATGAATATAAATCTGCAAAAAAGAAGCGCTTTTTTGTTAAATCTATTTTCATCGTTGTACATATACTAATTTAAATTATGTATTTATATATTAATTTCAAAAAATTTTTTCCTTTTAAAGGAAAAAAAAGACTTTTTGCTCTGTTTATTTGACTTACTTTTAATGTTTTACAAGTGATATTATTTGATTAATTTGTATAACTTTTAATTATATATACTTATATAATTATTAGAACAAAAGGAAAATTTATTATAAAAATTGATTATTAAAATTAAAGTTAAAAAAAAAAACAAAAAAATCAAAGAGTTTATTCAGTTATTATTTTTTTCAAACAAATATACTATTTTAGAACAAAAATTCAAATTAAAAATTACAACAAAATTACATCGTTCATTTTTTTTTTTTGTTAAATAAAAATCTTTTGAAATATTTTAAATTTGAAAAAATTATCGATTTAAAATACTCTAATATATAATTTTGCATATTATATATTCTATATAAATTATCTAACATTGATTTTTGCAATGTTTTTCGTTTTCTTTTTTTTTTTTTAATTTATGATATTAATAACTTTGTTAAACTAAAAATTTTATGGTTTGTCTTGACAAAAATGCAACAGACGCATGGAACAGACTTATATAAACGTCTATGTCACGTACATATGCACACGTACGTTGCATTTGCAAAAATTATCTATTTAATGTTTTAAAAACGAAATTAATCTCTAAATTTTATGAAATGGGAAAATGACGAAAGCCTGATTTTAATTTTTAAATTTATTTTTTAATAATTTAGTTTTTTTAAAACATGCATCAAGTTTTGCAAATTTTTTTGTAAAAATATTGCAAATAAGCTATATTTTTTAATTTAACTGATTAACATTTCAAAATAATTTATTGTAAATTCATTTAGAAATGTTATTTAGCAAAGTTTTGAGATTAATTTCATTTTTCAAATCATTTTTTTTTTTTTAAATATCATTTTGTGATGTATATAAGTTTATAAAAATGTTAAAGAAAGAAATAAAATTTTGTATTTTTTTTAAATTTGAAATTCATTTTTAATACATAAATGAAATTAAAACTACGAGAAGAAAATGTTGAAATTGTAAATTTACAATAACTATACTTTTTGTTTAACAAATTTAATTGTTTCCTCTTTTATTTTAATCATTTTATTTGCTACCGTTTTTTCTTTATCTTTTATTTATTAGATTTCTGAATGTTTTTTTTTTTTTCAAATTAGAAAACAATTTAAGAATTAAATTAAAAACAGTTGTAAATGATTTACTGAATGTTTAGATATTAGGAAAAACACGAAAATAAGCATAGTTTAAAAAAAGAAAAATATATAAATTTAAAATTTTTTATAAAACTCTTTCTTTTTTATCTTTCAAATTAAATTTTACAATGCTTCTAATCATACCGACGATTAATATCAATTAAATTTGAAATCAAATACTTATCAATAATAATTAAAATATTTATTTGAAATTGATGTTTATAGAAATAAATTTGCATTGACATATTTTTAGCAAATGAAAAAAAAAGAGAAAAAGCATAAATTTAAATGGAATAAATAATATTTGAGTTTTTTATTTTTCTTTTGAAATTTAAGAAAATAAAAAAATTTTGTATATTGTATGTATAAATTCATTTATTAATTTTTCCTTCACTTTTGATGACATATGACACTTTTAATTTTTAATTAGAATTGTTTGAAGTATCCAATTACCAAGGACATGCGATAGAAGGTAATGAATTACAAGAAGAAGTAATTTAAATTCTTTAATTTATTAAATTAAATCTATAAAAAAGCGGCATAGAGAGCAAATTTAAAAATAATAAAGAATAAAGATAACAAATAGATGCAAAATCTTTACGAAAATTTTGATATTTTGCTACAAAAAATTTAATATTAATGAAAATTTTAATTGTTATTTCATAGTTCTTTTTTCTTCATACTTCAATGATAAATTTGACAAAATTTTTAATTTAAACAAAATTTCACTGATAATTGATGTGATAATCATTTGCTTATCACTCGTTAGTTCCCAAAAATTATTTTTGATTGAATTGTTTACGCTTCACATGATATATATAACATTTATAGTTTGTTTTGCGAATAAACTGAAAATTATTTATATTTTAATCCATTGCTTTTTTTTTTTTCAAATTCATTTTATTTACTTATTTGCTTATTTTTTCATCCTTTTTTTTAAAAAAAAAAAAATAAATTAATAATACAATGAGACTTACATTTGAATCAAATGCAATCGTATGTGATTTCTTTTTTTTTCCATCCAATTTATTTTGTTTTTCAATTCTTTTAATTTCTTTTACCAATTCTTTCATTTCCTAAACAACACTTAATAATGATTCAAATATTTTGAAAAAATTTATAACTAAAAAGATTGAATTTAATTTTCAAAATACTCTAAACAATAAAGTTTAATTGGAAATTTGAAATCATATTTATAATATAACAAAAGTAATATAAAATATTACTACTAATTGAAAATGAAAATATATAAATACTAATTAAGCTAACCATTAAATATCGCATTAAATTTTTGATCAAAAATTTTCCATATTTAATAGATGAAATTCCATTTAATTTTATATCATTTTCCAAAATTTGAATTAATTTGCTAATTTTATTTGTCATCTCCACTATATTCATACATTCAATTTCTTTTAAACTTTCTTTTATTACATTCATATCCTGAAAAAAAAAAAATCAAATTTAGTATTATTATTATCATGAATTTTTTTTTTTCATTAAGCTCAAATTATCATTTATTTATTTTCTTTCTTCTTTCGCTGCTTTATTTATGCTATAAAATATAATAAAACTAATGTGAATAAAATTTAAACAAAGAGAAAAAAAAGAATTATTTGTAAATTTTGTAAAAAATTTGATAAAATTTTCAAACAATCGATTGTTTACCCAAATATTTTCGGTTCTATGATTTATAGTAGAAATGGACGTTGAAGTTGTACGATTAGGTGAAGAAGGAGCAAAAGACATTTCAATAAACAAAAAATGTTGATTTGCCTTGCTAATGAATGTTGTTTTATTGGTATTGTGAATCTATTGATATGAAAAGCAAAAATTTTTGCGGGCAATCAATAAATACGTGAGGTCAAATTGTTTGTTATTGACCTCCCTCCCCAAAAAAAAAAAAAAAGAAAATTGTTGTCTGATTTCAGAGAAAAAAAAATGGATAATATATTCTAAGGGAATATTTAAAAAATAATGTATCCATTTAATGCAAATTATTTGCAAGACAAGAAAGAAATAACTTAATAAATATTTCAGAAAAGGTCAGCAAGCGAATTAAGTTTATTTTTCATTTCTTTTTTTTTTTTTTTTTTTGTAAATAATAATTTCAAGATGAGAAAAAATTGCCAGAAATTGTTATTGCTAATATTAATTTGCTAACAGTAATTGAATAAGTTTTATAAGTTGATCTAATTTTCAAAAAAAGAGTTTATTTGTTTTTTTTTATCCGACAAAGAAAATGATTCATATTGTTGAAATTTTAAATTATAATTATTATATGCAAAAAAAACTTTTAATAATTATATACCAAACAAAATATATTTTGTTGTGAAGTTTCAAAATTCGGGTCTAATAAAATTTAATCAATTCTGCGCCTTAGTTTAATTGCTTCTAATTCTTAAGCTTTTTTTATTTCAAAAAATCATACAATAAAATTCTGAACCTAATAAAATTCCATTAGTTTCACATTATAATTTAATTGACTTTAATTTCAAACCTTTTTATTCAAAAAATTCATGCGACATTTTTATTTTGTAACATTTTTCTGCTTTGCAAAAATTATATTTTTTTGTTAATTTAGTATTTTCGAGTTTATTTTTACAGCGTATATTTTATATTTGTGCAAACACAATTTTGACACTGAAATGCTCATTGTGGGCAATTAAAGGTAAAAGGTTAAAAATATTAATAATTACGGAGGGTCAATGTAGAATAAAGGAAGGTCAAATTTAAGATGGATTATATAAAAATAAAAAATTTTATTAATCTATCATAATAACATAGTCAGTCTGCAGTTCGTGAAAAAGAAAATTGCAGCTAGGATATTAGATTGAAAATTTGTTTGAAATAAATTTTTTCGCAAGATTGTCTGTGCTGAAAAAATTCTACGTAAAACGTAAAACGCATGACGTAAATGTTCAAATTTTCAAATCCAAATGCTAATTATTAAAAAATAAAAAAATTTACAGTAGCATTTAAATTAAAGTTAATTATTTTAAAGTCAATAGTAGAATAAACCATCCGTGAAATGATTGAAATAAATCGATGTCAGTTATGCTAATGTTTTATGATATTTCAACTTCAAACTTATAAATTAGTTAATTCCTTCAATTTTGAACCTATTTATTAAACTTCTTTTAAATTCGATATTTTCAATTGCTAGACTTGCAAGATGTAACCATCAAATTTTCATCAACTCTTTTAATTATTAGCTATTACATCGTTTCTTTGTAGCATCGGTCTCGCTGTAAGGGTCACATTGCTAGTTGACAACCATTTAATTCAATAATAATAGATTTTTTCTGTTTTGACAACTTCTTTGATATGTTTCTTTAAGTTGCTGAAGAAATTCTTGTCTTATTGGATCAAAAAATATTAAAACTTTACATTTTCGGAATCGAATGTCTCTCATTAGAAAAATTTTCCGTATCTATAGCAAGAACAGTATCAGCATTCATTAGGAGGAGAGAGGTGAATCTATAATTTCTCGTGTTTATTATGTTGGGTTTTTCACTAATAACAAGTGATGCTTATGGTTCATCGATGATGAAGTAATTTTTATAGCTCGTAGCATCGAATTCTTTCAAATTCTTCGATTTAGAGATGGTTGATAGTATCGATACTCTTCCATAAAATAATACTTTATCTTGTGAAATGTGACCTTCTCAGTAATAACTTCTTCACAATTCCATTTTTCAGGAATATTAAAATGTAATCCTGAAATCGAATTATAGTTGTTGACAGCTATCACCTGTTTTGATATTAATGACATTACTGTTATTAATAATAAAGTCTTCATTAAAAAATTGCACTTATCTTTTAATTCAGCAAAAGCTTATAGCTTTTTAGTACTTCTGGTTTGTCTTGCAATAAGTCCTTCTGGTTTATCTTCCATTTTATCATCTCTGTCCTCGAAAACATCCATTTCCATGGCGTATAGTTCATTTGATCATTGATCGATCAACTTGTTTCTCAGTAGAAAGTTGTATTGTCGCACTTCCTCTTCTTCCAAAAACTATTGAATTTCCCTCATTTTTATTGCTTAGATTATTGATATTGTACGTTTTATAAGAATAAAGATACGGTGATCTTCAATGCTGTATCATAAAATATTGGCGTAACTGACGTTAACTTATTTCATTTCACGGACGGTTTATTCTACAATTGAGTAAGTCATCTAAATTCTTGTATATCTTTAATTAATTTGACAACCTTCTACGACAATTTATTTTGATGCTATAAGCCGGGATTGCTTGTAAATTGGAAATGCCCCAGAATTGTCTCCAATTTTTTGAGGGTTTCTAGGGACAAATGAAGCAATTTCACAGTAAGATTCGAAGGAAGGATCATCTTTACCTCTTCTTTCGCCAATTCTTTTTTTAAACCCCTTGAGAGTTGCATTAAATTTTGGTCAGCTATGCATTGTTAGCGTTATACTTCTTTTCCTTTATGCAATAATTGGTCATTTTTTGTTATTGCTGCATACTTTTCTTTGCTTCTTTTTACTGTGACAATTTGTTGAGTGTATTTGAACCACTTATTATTGATAGATTCAAGCGTAGTAATGCATAATTGTAATTCTTTGAAGTTTGTTTTTCCTTGTTATATAGAAATTTTCCTTTTCTTTCAGTATCATATTTGATTCCGAAAACTTGATCTCTCTTAAATTTATTTCTTTAATAAGGTTGACTAATTTTTCCTTTGCGGGTTGTATGCTTGCGATAATATTGCTAAACATTGCTCATGGCACCAAAATAAATAAATTGTCGTTGGTTAAAGATATACAAGAATTTGGAAGACTTACCTCAATTGTAGAATAAACGTCCGTGAAATGAAATAAGTTAACGTCAGTTACGCCAATATTTTATGATACAGCAGTGAAGATCACCGTATCTTTATTCTTATAAAACGTACAATATCAATAATCTGAGCAGTAAAAATGGAGGAAATTCAGTAGTTTTTTGAAGAAAACGAAGCTACGAGTTGTTGTGATAAGAATAGCAATAACAAAAATATCGTTTATTAATTTTGTATTTATATATGTAGAGATATATGGGTATGACTATAATAAGATATTATGGTGAATTTAAAGCAAAAGATTGATGATATCAAATTCTGACGTGAATATAAAATAATGAGTTAGATAAGAAATCAAGGTTGACAGTGATTAATAGCACTGTGTGATTGTTTACAGTGAATAATTTATTTTCAAAATTCTGATTTATGATATTACAAGATTATTTATAATTAGTTAGTTTTTGTTTATATTATTATTTTGCTTAGAGTTTCGCGAAATTATAATTCGCAACATACGTGGTTGTATTGTTTAATTGTCTCCTTAATGACCATCAAGATAAAATTTTATTTTTCAAAAAAATAAAAGAGAAAAATTTCATAGTAATCTGATCTGCACTGATATTCTTCTCAATTTATAAATTATTATCTTTGAGTACTTGGTCAATAATAACGCGTACACCGTTCCATGTTTCAATTGCTATTGGTAATAATTTATATGGTTTTACTTGAAAAGCAAACCATGCTGAAAATTCATTATTTATCGATTCTTATTTCAACAACGAAAAAAAAAATTAAATAAAACTCAAAATTTTTAAATACAATTTTATAATTGTCATCAAATCAGTTAATATGGACACAAAATAAATTATTCTTCAAAAAAAAAAAAAAAAAAAAAATGAAAAAAAATGAAAGAAGCACTTTTGTATCTCTTCGTTAGCATAAATCAAAAAATTTTTTAAAAATGAAATTTTTTTTTTATTACTTTATCAGTAAGTTATTAAATGTTTCTTCTTTTCTTTCAAATTTATCATTTTGATAAAATAAAAATAATACATGTATGTGCTGGTGGTAATTCAAATACATAAACATATTTGATATTCGTATTGCGCTTAATCCAATCCGTTGCACTACCGGTTGCCGGACCTGAAAGTTTCCAAGTTCAACCTTCGATTTACTTTCAGACAGTCTTATAACTTCAATTTCCTTCTTTTCTTTCTTATTTTATTATTATTATTATTATTATTATTATTATTTTTTTTTTTTTTTTTTTTTGATGATTTGAATGGTTTCTATTGATTGTTTTCATATCACAACTTCAGGAAGATTTTTGTTCATCGCATTTTAAGACTATTTGATTATTACTTTTTCATATTGTGGCAAAAATATGAGATGGATAATTATTTTAGAATATATTTGTTGATATTAAAACTTGAAAATGTCAAATATTCTGTTATTGTCTATTTTCAGTTTTTTCTACAATTATTTAAAATGATTTAGCAGTTGTTTTAGTATGTATAATTATTTATAAACGGAGTGATCAAAACTTAATAACTAAATTTGTTAAAGTGAATTATTTATTATTATTACTATTATTATTATTAATTATTATTAAATAAATCAATGATGCAGAAAAGAAGTGCATTTGTTTTTTTTTCCGAAATTTTTAAAATTTTAAAGAAATAAGTAGAAATTTTGAAATCTATGGGACATTTCTGAAATTGGAATTCTTGAAATTAATTATTATTATTATGAATGTTACCAAGTATATCAGCAGCAGTACCAATGTCATATTCATTTCCGTTATGTTTTCTTATAGCATTTTTTGCCTTTTGTGCTACAGCCATCTGTAATGAAGCTATTAATACAATTATTGACAAATCTTTCCGACATAAATTTTCTGACATAAATTTTACAAACTTGAAGTGAAATTTTAATCCGGCATTAAAAAA